TTTCCCTGGTCGCCATCTTTCCCCGTCCCGCCGCCGTTCCTCGTTTCGAACTCTATTAGCGTCAATAAGCAGGGCAGAGCAAGTAAGTGCAAATTTCGATAATCCTTGACTCTCCACGGTACCATCCGCGTTTACACATTATGTCGATGCCGTGCCGTGAGGAGCGATTGACGAAAGCCGGCTTGGCCGCGCGGCGCGGCGTGGTAGGAGGTCCCCATGAATGAGCTCTATGGTGGTCGACCGCGGCTGCCAGTTGGAGGCGAAGTTTATTGGCTCCGGTCGGTGCTTGCCTGTGGCGCGCGGGCGCGCAGGGAGTGAAGGGCACGTGTGGCCCTGGAATCCGACGAGCCCTAGGCGCCGCGCATTCCATTCCAACGTCTCCCTCCCCATCTCTCTCTCTTTCTCTCCCCTCCCTCTTTCTCTCTCTCTCTCCCCCCCCCCCCCCCCCCCCCCCCCCTCTGTCTCTCCGCTTACCTATCTGCTTCGCGCCTACGTGTTCCGCTTCTTCTTTCGCGCTGCTGTTCTCCCTCCTCGCCCCGCGTCAGCTTACTCCGACTCTCCGTCCTCCGGCCGGTGTCTTCGAACTCGCTTTCTTCCCTCGAGTCGCGGTTGCTTTTCGAGAATTTCACCGTGTCGCGACGATCCACGTCCCACGTCGCGTGCGACTTTACGGAATCTTCTCAAGGGAAAATTTCCGAGATTTACGGAGATCTCTTTTGGTAATTACAGTAGAACCCAGAATATAACTGACTTCATGTTATCTGATTCCCTCGGTTGCCTTCGCTGTCGAGCGCTCTCTCTTTCTCTCTCTCTCTCCCTTCCCTCTCTCTTCCCTTCCCCTCTCTCCCCCTCCTCTCTCTCTACTCTCTTTCTCTCTCTCAGTCTCAATCAGTCTAATTCTTCGGTACATATCTAATGTATGAAAGAATTGTCATGTTTCATTTGATTAAGATTTTAGAAAGAAAATGGAGTTGATTATATAAAATTTAAAGTAATTAAATATTAAAGTAATGTCTATTTAAAATGTTTTTTTTTATCAAATAAAATATATCCGTATTTTACCCGATTTTGATTGATTCATATTAGGTCGGATTATCAAGGTTTTATAGTGCCCTTTCTCGTGGATACTCCGGATTGATAATCTTTAACGTAAGAAGTACCTACATTATTTTTATTATACTTGATATTTGATTGACACAATTTTGTGATTGATTCGAGTGCAATTAAGATCAACGAGCGTTTGCTTCACTGAATATTAATGCATTTAATACATGTAGCTAATGTACTCGTTAAAATTTATTTACAAATATAATATTTCAGTTTTATAAAATGCTTATTAACTTCACTATTAAAATGAACGATCAATCTATTTTGAAGTATTAATTTCATCTTCAGTTTGCGATTGCATTTCAAGTCCGACAAATCTTATCGGCGCGCATTTTATAAAACTGAAATATTATATGTGCAAAAATTTGCATTTAATATTATTAAGATCCGCTTTGATTTGAAAACAGGATTATTTCTATTAATTTATTTTCGTCGGTTTAATTTCGATTTGTAATTAATACGGAATCTACTATATGGAAAATTTGATCCTGATGAAATGAATTAATTTTTACATATGATGTAATTAATAATGTGATAAACAAAATACGTCATAAACATAAAGTTTAATATGAATAAAGGATAGTTTTATGCTGTGGTCTATTAAAGGTAAACAGAAGACACCTTTAATATACTATATAACTCAAAAACTGTTCATTATTGAACTTTATGTCTATGACATTTTTTGTTCACTATTATAATCTACATTATACGTGAAAATTAATTTATTCCACCGGGATCCAATTTTTCATATAATTAGTGCGGAATCCTTTTTCCAGATTCGACACAATAAATGAAAAATTACGGATCAAAGAATACAACAGATAAACAGCGTATATTCGGCGTGTTCTTAGGAACATCTTCATCGAGTAACGTGACGTTTATAGAAACGCCGCACCTTAAGCGGCTTTATGTTCTTTCTAATGAAGCTACAATCGCGCAAGATTAATCTAACGAAAGATCTTAATGCGATATTAAGTAAGAGACCGAAGCTTATCACCGTATCAAATAAACGCGCGTGCACGTGGCTGTGCACGTGCAACGCGAAGCGTTTATTTTTTATTTGCTCGGTCTCCGGATCATTGTTGTTTGACGTATGAACCCGCTGTGCGATTCGCCTAGCGCCTTCTATACATGGGTATTCGCTGTTTCTGACGACTTATTTACGATCGTTACGTGATTCGCGCGAGCGGATACGTGACACATCGCGCTTATATATCGTTCTTACACAACGGCCGACGTTAATTGAGCAACCTTTCCCCGTGTTATTTTACATTGAGAATCAAACGCTGATCTATCTCGTAGAACGTTGACGAGAAAATCGGAAACTTGAGAGACGTGTAATATATTTGCAAATACAAAAATCATTGCCTGCGAAACTCCTTTCTTGCTTAGGCGCAGACCTTATTCTTTATTTAAAACGAATGATTAACTCGTGTTGTAAAATGAGATACAGATGGGAAGCAGGCAATATGTTTTTGTTAATCTTGCGTAAATAAACGAATGATAAAACTGCACAATAGTGATAAGCAGACAGACAATAGAGGCAAATGGACAGTAAATAATGATGATCTTCTTCTCGCTGTGCTTCACTCGCAAGTGATCCATGAAAAGTTGATTAAAATTGATATTGTTGGTTCACGCTTATGTTTCATGATTGATTGGTAAATTATGTTATTTTTATTTGTACTCAACATAATTATTTTTGTAATCCTTCTATTTTGACAAGAAAACTGCTAGATTATTCTATACTGAAAGAAAAGATTGGCTGAATATGACATAGCATTTTTAATTAAGCCAATTAAAAATGCTGTGCCATATTTTACTATCTAATTTGCTACAGCAGCCAATCTTTTTTTTTTTTTTTCAGTGTATATTTGATATTTGGCAAAAGCGAGAAAGAAAGTGCAATCTAACGCAGGAATAAAAAAATAGACCTAATTAAGAAAATTTTAAAAGAAAGGGAAGAATATTTTGTAATTATTGAACTATTATTTATGGAAATAGATTTTTACGAAAATAACTGATTATTAAATATGCAAACGTTATTCATTGTTAATATTAATTCTTACTTTTTATGTATATGATGAAATTGTAAAATATTTTCTACGTATTCTGTTAGCATATTGTAACACAACCGCTCATGATAGATACGTAACACTAATTTCAAAGAGAACGCGAAAACGTCATTTAGTTATCGCAACCAGAAGTTGCGAACAACGCTTAATTATGAACGGAATTACTCGTTCTGCC